GAGCCTTAAGGAGAAACTGACGACCGCTCCGGTGTTAGTACTTCCCGACCCGGAAGGTGAATTTGAGCTATACAGCGATGCTTCCAAGAAGGGATTGGGATGTGTGCTGATGCAGGATAGGCGAGTGGTAGCTTATGCATCGAGGCAATTGAAACCGCATGAAGAAAATTATCCAACCCATGATCTTGAGCTTGCTGCAATTGTTTTTGGGTTGAAACAGTGGAGGCATTTCTTGTATGGAATGCAATTTGCAATATTCAGCGATCACAAGAGTTTGAAATACTTGTTTGATCAGAAGGAGCTGAATATGAGACAACGACGGTGGACCGAGTTCCTAAAGGACTATGATTTTGAATTGAAATATCATCCTGGTAAGGCTAATGTTGTAGCGGATGCACTAAGCCGAAAATCCGTGAGTATATCAAGCATGATGATCAGAGATTATGATGTGATTGAGAGGTTCAGAGATATTCAATTATCTAAAATTTTTCCATGTAAAATTTGTGGCTTTGAAATCACAAGCATTGAGAATGAACTGATGACCAGAATCAAAGAAGCCCAGCTGCAAAATGAAAGTGCTAGACGACTAAAAGGTCAGAGTGGTGTATCCTGCAATGATGAGGGTATACTATTATATCAGGGTCGTGTAGTTGTACCTAGGCAGTTGGCGGAAGAAGTGATGACAGAGGCTCATAAGGGTCATTTTACAGTTCATCCGGGAGCTACAAAGATGTATCAGGACCTAAAGATGAAATTCTGGTGGCCTGGTATGAAGAAAGATATTGCCGAATTTGTCTCTAAGTGTCTTATTTGTCAGAAGGTAAAGATTGAGCATCAAAAGCCTTCTGGTATGCTGCAACCTCTGGATGTTCCTGAATGGAAATGGGAGAGTATCTCCATGGATTTCGTAGTGGGATTGCCGCGAACGCAGGCTAGTTATGATTCTATATGGGTGATTGTGGATAGATTGACAAAATCCGCACACTTTTTGCCAGTTCGGGTAGATTTCTCTGCGGAGAGATTGGCTAGGCTCTATGTGAAGGAGATTGTGAGGCTTCATGGGGTGCCTGAGAGCATTGTTAGTGATCGGGACCCGAAGTTCACTTCTCGCTTCTGGGGAGCATTGCAGGAGGCTCTTGGCACTCAGTTGAGACTGAGCACTGCTTATCACCCACAGACGGATGGTCAGACTGAGAGGACCATTCAGACGTTGGAGGATATGCTGAGGGCTTGCACCCTGGAGCAGGGTACTGCATGGGATCGATATCTCCCGCTGGTTGAGTTTTCATATAATAATAGTTTCCATGCTAGTCTGGGTATGGCTCCCTACGAGGCCTTGTATGGTCGCAGGTGTAGGACACCTACTTGTTGGTCAGAGGTTGGAGACACAGAGCGGTTTGGATTGGATTTTGTTCAGGAGACTACTGAGCAGATCAAAATGATTAGGGATAGTCTGAAAAAGGCTCAAGATCGTCAGAAAAGTTACTATGATCTCAAGCACCGGCCTCTAGAGTTTGAGGAGGGAGATCATGTGTTCCTGAAGCTGTCACCGGTTACGGGTGTGGGACGAGCCCTTGGAGTGAGGAAGCTGAGTCCGAGATTTATTGGACCCTACCAGATTCTTCGTAGGGTGGGACCGGTTGCCTACCAGCTTGCCTTACCTCCGCAATTAGCAAATTTACATGATGTGTTTCATGTTTCTCAGCTGAGGAAATATGTAGCTGATCCTTCTCATGTGGTTCAACCAGATAATGTTGAAATCCGGGAGAATTTGAAGACTCCTATTGGACCACTGAAGATACTCGGAAGAGATGAGAAGAAGCTGAGAAATAAATCTATTCCTATGGTGAAAGTCCAGTGGGAAGGAAGGACGCCTGAAGAGTCCACTTGGGAGCGGGAAGATGAGCTTCTCCGGCAATATCCTGAGTTTAAGGATAGGTACGTTCTTGATTTTGCGGACAAAATCGCTAAAAGGTGGGGTGACTATAATAGCCCATCTTAATTAATTAGTAAATCAAGTGTAATTAATTAATTAAACATGTTTTAGTGAGTGAAATTAAGTATAAGGCTTAATTAAATGAATCTGAGTCACTTTGGAGTTAAAAGTGTACTCAGTGAAAATTAAGGGGTATAAATGGGTACTGGCAAAAGTACCCAAAATATAAAAATAAAAATAGTAATATTCCTAGAATAATATTCCAGACTTTTGGGTAAAGTTTGGTAATTATTGGAGTTGAATAGATAGACGAACCAATACCCGCTTAAAGCCACTTAACCAATGTTAAGTGACCAAAAGCCAAAAGTGAACCCATTTCCCCCCTGCAACCCGTCGAGAAAGAAACAGAGAGAAGAAGAAGAAGAAGGAGAAAAGAGGAGGAAGGAAGGGAGGGAGAGAGAGAGAGATCAAACCTTGATGGTTTTGGATGATTCAAAAGCCTAAATCGCTTAGAATCTCGCCCTCTTTCATAATCCAAGCTTAGTTTTAAGTGGGGAGCTTTGTGTGGTGGGATATTGGCTCTCAAAAATTCGGCCCTTTGGAGAAATTTGGGGTTTTGAGAGTTTCTACCTCCATTGAAGCTTGAGGAGCCATCAATCCTTGGTTATGTGACCATTGGTGGTAAAATTCTAACCCTTGAACCTCATGATCCCTTGAAATTTGCATGAGTTAGGGTTTGTGAATAGTAAATTGGGATTTTTATGAAATGTAGTTGAATTAGCTATGTTCTAGGAAGAATGGAGCTTAGAGCATGTTATGGAAAATGCTAGGAATGTCATTTAATCGGTGGAAATGAGCCTAGATAGTCATTTGATAATTGTTCATAATATTGGAAAATTCATGCTTGGATTGGTTAGTATTCTAGCATGTTGAACAATTAGTGAGTTGAATGATTGATTGGATCCTTGTGATGTCTAGGATTGAGACATTTGGACCAACCGTGAGTGATCAACCATTGGAGCAAGCTATGGAGCTTGAATAGCTCATTGGAATTGGTAAGCTCACACTTGTGTGGTGTTTTGAATTGAACATTTGATGGTTGATTGTGAAATACTCTTGGATGCAATGTGTTGATTGCATTACACCATGTGTAGGTGTTGGTTTTGGAGTAGAGTATTGTTGACATTGGTGAAGAACAAAGGTCGACTGAAGCATTGAGGTAAGCCTTCGGACCTTGGGTGTAATTCCCTTGATTGTTCCACCAAGCCCTGAAAGGGTAGTGGTGATTATAGTGTATATAAATGCAATAAAATAGTGTAATGCTTTGTTATACGTATGTGTATGCATTTGGTGTGGCATAGGATGGTGTTTCCCTATGTGGGTATGTGGCATGACGATGCGTAAATCATACTTGGTAGTTAGCTGGCCAGTAGGACTATTTGCATCTGGGTTTCCTTAGGACAGCTTGAGAGCTCGAGGGATTTCTCCTGGAGATGTATTGCACTTTGCATAGATATGTATTTACTGCATTATTATTGTTATTGCTATTACACTGATATGGAACTGTGGGGTGGAGAGATGCTCCAAGGACCCCTGGTTTACTGGATATATTCGTATATCTCACCCCGTGTTGTGGGGACCCCCTTTCAGGTAAGGATGCTGCAGGAGCCTCTGGTGGCAAGTGGCCATACCTAGATTATGCATGAAATATGACACTTCTTTGAGTTTATGCATGCCTTTTGTAGTTGACATGTATAGGATTTTATTTTGAAAGCCCATGATCATTTGTATATCTTGATTCATTGGATGAACTTAGCCTATGCTCATGCCTTTGGTTACACCTTTTGTTGATGGGAGCCAAGGGAATGATCATAGTGTTTTGTAAGCTAAGTTCTAGGATTTGTAAAGGATATGTAATGTAAATGATGCCTACTTGGAATTCAATATATGCATGCTTGTTATGTATTGAGTTGTTGAATTGGTTGGGCTGAAAATCAATTAGGTACCCTCTTCGTTTAAACTGGTAAACGATGAGAAAACAAAGGTCATGCTGCCCAAATTCTAGCTAAATCTCATGAGGAGAGGTTGGATGAGTGCTAGGATTTAGTCTTGGGGCATGGACATTTGGGGTTTGTAATGGGGATGCATTTTCCCCTAGGCTTGGACTTGAGAAATGTGGGAATTGGAATTCCCTGGCAGCGCGCTTAAGCGCCCAGGAGCGCGCCCAAGCGCCCTGCTGCCCCTGCGAGTGCCAATGCATTCTGCCTCCTTGCGCTGGAGCGCCCAAGTGGGGGCTTAAGCGCCCAGGATTGCGCGCTGGAGCGCCCTGGCGTGCGCTTAAGCGCCCTTTGCTGCAGAAAGTTGGGTGGCTTACTGCCCCCTCGTGTTTTAGCGCCCAGGGTGGGGCTTAAGCGCCCAGGGTTGCGCGCTTGAGCGCCCTGGTCCGCGCTTAAGCGCCCTTCGCCACTGAAGGAGGAGATGCTTCTGTCTCTGCGTGCTAAAACGTCCCCGTGGGAGCTTGAGCGCCCAGGATAGCGCGCCTGAGCGCCCTGTTGCGCGCTTAAGCGCCCATCCACACTGGAATGCCTGATGCTTACTGCCTCCGTGCGCTTAAGCGCCCAGATGGAGGCTTTAGCGCCCGATAGCGCGCGCTTGAGCGCCCGGTAGCGCGCTGAAGCGCGCGGGGCCTGTGACCAACACTCTCTTGTGTTGCTTCAAATTGTCCTAACTTGGACTACAGTGCTCCGATTTGAGCACGGTTTGAAGCCACGGGTAGCTAATGAAGAAACCTACAATATAGTAGAAGTATTGAACTAAACAAGAAGTAAATTAATGGTTTAAAAATGGGAAATGAACATGATGTTAAGCTTAATTTATCTGTTTCCGCAAGGTAATATGGTTATGATCACGAAATTGGGTATTATAAGTTCGGTACGTTTTAAAATGAAAAATTTATCCGGATTTTAATTGAACCCATGTGATTGTAACTGCGCTTAATATCATAATGCGATGTTAACAAACCGGTTCTAGAACGGGGTGTTACAGACATCCACTAACTGTAAGCATGATTGTGATTGCAACTGCTATCTTGAAAACTATCTATGCAATATTTATGTGCAGTACATCAAAAGAGATTTCAGATCTTGAGGGAGAGCTACTTTCCATGAGAAATCTTCTATCCACCCAGGCTGCTTTGGTTCATGGTTTAGCAGAAGGATGTCAGCTTAGTTCCTTGATTACTGGAAACGAAGATTCAGACATTAATGATATACTAAATGAAAAAACAGATATATCCAAGACAGAAAAATGGCTAATAAAATTTCTAGAAACTATTGAAGTTCTATTAGCAGAGAAAAGAGTGGATGAAGCAATGGCTGCCTTGGATGAGGGAGAAAAAATGAGAGAAGAAATTAGTAAAGGGAAAACATTGAGTCCAAGTTTATCCCAGGCATTGCAAGATGCCATCACTGAAAACAGACAAAAATTAGCTGATCAATTAGCAGAAACTATCTGCCAGCCATCAACTCGCAGTGCAGAGATTCGCTCAACAGCATTGGCATTGAAAAATCTTGGGGATGGTCCTCGTGCTCATACATTACTACTTAATTCTCACCAAGAAAAGTTGAAGCGTAGCATGCAAAGTCTTCAGTCCACCACTTATAGTGTAGTTGGGGCATACACTGCTACCCTTTCACAGCTTGTCTTTTCAACCATTTCACAAGCAGCATCAGATTCTTTGACAGTGTTTGCTGAAGATGAACCTGCATATACTTCTGAGCTTGTAACTTGGGCAGTTACACAGGCTGAACATTTTGCTCTTCTACTTAAGAAACGCATTCTTGCCTCAACGGCTGCTGCAGGAGGTCTAAGAGTTGCATCTGAATGTGTTCATGTTTGTTTGAGTCACTGTTATCAGTTAGAGGCAAGTGGGCTGGCCCTTTCCCCAGTCTTACTAAGATATTTTAGGCCCTTTGTTGAGCAAGCACTCAACACAAATTTGAAAAGAATTGAACAAAGTAGTGCTGCATTGGCTGCTGCAGATGATTGGTTGCTTGCTTATGCACCAACCAGCAGGAATTCAGGCCTTCCACCATCCTCTTCTCATAGCAACTTAAGTTCATTCCAGTCAAAGCTTTCAAGCAGTGCTCACAAATTCAACTCAATGGTTCAGGTGATTACTTATTTATATATATTTTCAGTGTTATCCTGGGTTGAAATCAACAAGTCTTTTAGCATGATTTCACACTTATTTTCATTTGAAAAGTTTTCCAAGAAAACCATTTCTGAGTAACCTATATTACTATGAAAACATTAACGTTAACCAGGAAGTGTGGCACAATCATCACGAAGCTACTTTCCTCACTCCCCTCCTCTCTTTTATGTCTCTTTGATCGAGATGCTTAATACAGTTTTTCATTGTCTGAATAGGAACTTTTCGAAGATGTAGGACCTCTTGAAATCCTACAATTGGATGGTCTTGCATTTGAAGGTCTTCTACAAGTGTTCAACTTCTATGTCAATTTGCTAGTAAATGCATTGCCAGGTTCAGTGGTAACTGAGAACCTGGAAGGTTCAGGGCAAAAAATTGTTAAGATTGCTGAGACTGAAGCACAACAGATAGCATTGCTGGCTAATGCAATATTGCTAGCAGACGAGCTTCTCCCACGTGCTGTAGTCAAGCTTTCACATAGCACTCGAGGTGATGACTCTCAGAGAAGAGGATCAGACAAACAACGTCCTCCAGAACAGCGTGAACTGAAGAAAAGACTCCAACGTGAAGTTGATCGCCTCAGAGATAGCTTCTGCCGGCAACATGCACTTGAACTCATCTTCACAGAAGATGGGGAAACACTTTTGAATGCATTAATATATTTAGGTTTGGATGAGAAAGTTGAGCAACCTGAATGGTTTCCTTCTCCAATTTTTCAGGTAATATCTGTAAACAAAAGGGATGTTTCCTTTGATGCTAAGTTTTGCCTTTGAATCAGTATAATATGCTTTCTCTTTAGTACTCAGACACATGCATTGATATAAACTTAGTAGTAGTATTTTTTTTATTCAAAGTTGTATCATTTCCTACATAATTGTTCAGGAGCTTTTTGCAAAGCTTACTAGAGTGGCAAGCATTGCAACAGATGTGTTGGTGGGAAGGGAAAGGTTTGCCACTATTTTATTGATGAGACTCGCAGAAACCGTGATCCTGTGGCTTTCTGATGACCAAGCCTTCTGGGACGAGGTTGAGACTGGCCCAACGCCTTTGGGTCCTCTCGGCCTTCAACAGGTAATCACTTGAAGATGAGATCATTGAGTTGTTTGTTGTCAGTGACTCCAATTTATTGTGAATTATAGCATTAGAAGAAGCTATTTGAAAATATAATTTTAGAAGCCTGTAAAAATAATGTCTGGTATAAACATTTAAAAAGTTGCTTTTAAAAGAAGTTGAGCATTTGATAAATGGACATGCAAATAGTATAAAATAATGACAAACTATGATGGTAGTCATTGTAATTTTGTAAAAGTATTTAGATATAATTTGGTATTTCAAACAACAAAAACCAGGAATAGCTTCTAAATGTATCCTCAAACAGAATTCATTTTCAAACAACAGCTATTTTTAGAGGGTAGTATTGAAGAAGTTGTTGGAGATATAAATTTAATGCTTAGGATCACTCACCATAAATAATGTTAGACTCACTATTCGATAATTTGTGCAGCTTTATTTAGATATGCAATTTGTGATGATATTTTCAGCCCAAGGCCGTTACTTATCTCGTCATCTGCATCAAGCTATTAAAAACATTATTGGTAGGGCTATTGATGCTGTTGCTGCTACAGGGCTAGATCCCAACAGGTACATTTGTCTGGCTTTAAAGAACATGTGTGGATATATACTCATTAAATATCAATGGAAACCAGATAGAAAGAAAAGGGAAACTTGTTTCTAGAACTGCATCATATAAGTTCATTCATGATGGAATTAGCCATCTTTGTTATCTACTGCTTCATACTAATTAAGAACCATGAACGACAGTGTTTTGCCACAGGATGAGTGGTTTGTTGAAGTTTCCGAAATAGCTATAAAGATGTTAACTGGGAAAGCCGCCTTTGACAATGTAGAAGATGATGTTACTAGCCCCACAGCATTCGTCTAAGCATTATCAATGTCATCAGTCCATTCTATTGGAAGGAGTTACAGTTCATCCACTTGTAAATCTTGGCATATTGTAGAGAGAAGAAGGGAAAGAAGAAATTGAAGAGAAACAGTTACATATTGATCATCTATCCTGCTACTTGATCAGTCAGCTGAATATGATATTTGGTGCTTGTTATTTGACATGCTTTTCCGGGTTCAAGGAATGTCTTTCACTTCAAACTTGTGTAGATGAATTGCATTTTATCTGTGTACATTCCAATGCCGCTCATGTCATACAATGCAGGTATGCTAAAGGATGCAGGAAATCGAGATATGATGTTAATCAGAACATACTATCCAGCGAACCTTGGTTGATATTAGCAACCTAGTATACTTGAGATCTCGAGGATTTCTAGAACTCAACTGCTGCCAGGGGCAGGTTCTGGATTTATTGTAGCTATTTGTATATTCCTCTTTCTATTATAACCATAGCCAGTTGATTATTTTAAGATATCTCAGACATTGCTATTACCTTTATCAAATTTCCGGCCTACTTAGTCATAAAGAAGGGAATCATAAACTAAGTTTCCTTGTGTTTGTGTGTGTGTATTATGACCCTATTGAACTTCAACAGTTCTTAGAAACTAAATGCCAATGAAACTGAAATAGCCTTGCATAAGAAAGTCCCAAGACAGCACTGCTACATCAAGGTAAATGGTTAAGGTGGTTGATTGCTTTGCAGTAATTTTCCCTACTTTAAAGTAACAGTTGCGACAGATGTCTTGTAAAGAAGCAACCAATATGGATTTATTTTTTCATTAAAAAAAAAAAAAGAAGCTAACAAGACCCCCGTCTAATCCCGTGATCCAATGAGGATCTGATATTTAGTAGCAGCCTCGTACAGTGTATATTTGTGATTCGTTTTGTAAAGATGTTACCTTCCAGGTAACATTGTTATGACAGATCATTGGTACTCCAAATTGAGATAATAATATGCATAAAAATAATAAAGTGTGCAGTGAAGGAGTAAAGAAGGCACATATATCTCAGATGCCTCTTGGAATTACTAACTACGGACAGAGGTTACTCCTTGAAATGCACAAAAATTGCAATAACAAAAGTATCTCTTGTTTTCTCAACATGAAAGTCATAAAGGAAATGTTTCATGAGAATCTAGTTGTTGTCAAACTTCCAAAAGAGAAACTTCCAAATGTGCACAACCTGCAAAGTCTCACCATTATAAGATTAATCCTTACCGTGTGGTTGGCTATCTGTCATTGTTTCAAATAGGGAAGGTTGGTTTCCGGCTGCTAAATTATAGTTGCAACTTGGTAATAGAGAACTCTATATTACTGAGTACAGACAGGGTCAAAGGTTTAGTTTAATCCAAAAAAAAGTGTAAGGGTACGAGATTTCTGGCACTTACCTGGATAATATAATGGGCCAGTCTTTGGAATCTATCACACTTAAAGCACTATTATGGACATCATGATTCAGACAGATACGCTTTCCATCTTTAATATTTAAAAGGGCATCTGGCCATCAGGAAGAAGTTGGATCCCAGAAGCAATACTACTTGTTCTTATCTATGTGTGGTGAAGTGTGGATTTTTTGTCAAAATCAGGTCCAAACCAACATTCTTAAGAGCCTTTTCAGTTGCAAGAAAACATTCCATAAGATAAGTAAGAACAAACTTTATTGGATAGAGCAACATGGATTATCAGTTGCTACATATAGTTGCACTTCTGACGGTGATAGCATTTGGAGGAGACATATGGAGAACTACAAAAGCGTGCAGTTCAGATGACTTGGAAGGATTGATGGGATTCAAGAATGGAATTCAGATGGATACATCTGGTCGTTTGGCAAAGTGGGTTGGTAAGAGCTGTTGTGAGTGGGAAGGTATTGTCTGTGAAAATGCAACCACTAGAGTGACACAAATCCATCTCCCAGGGTTCATTGATAAAGATTTATTTCAAACCCAGATGATGGGTCAGCTTTCTCCTTCCATAACACTCCTCACCTCTCTTGAAATCCTTGACCTTGGTGGTTTGGTAGGCCTCACTGGAACAATTCCTCAAACAATTGGTTTGCAACTGCCAAAGCTACAAAAGCTATACCTTTATGGCAACAATTTAGCTGGCCCAGTACCAGAAAGCATTGGTGAGTTACCAAACCTCCAGGAACTGGCGCTGCATGAAAATAGGATATCTGGGTCGATCCCTTCTAGCCTTGGAAGCTTAAAAAACCTCAAAAGATTGCTTCTTTATTCAAATCAAATTTCAGGTACAATACCCCTCTCACTTGGGAATTTGACCAATTTGGTAGAACTGGATGTTCATGACAATGCTCTTACGGGTCATGTACCCAATAGCATTGGCCAGATACAGGCTCTGGAAAAGCTTGATCTTTCAAGCAATTTGCTAAGTGGGAACATACCTTCTTCACTAACTAATTTAACTGCCATTTCAGTTTTGTATATGGACACCAACTATCTTGAGGGAACCATCCCATTTCCCTCAAGATATGGTGAAATGCCTTCTCTGGGCTTCTTAAGACTCCATGATAACCATCTTAATGGAAATATACCTGAGAATCTTGGCTACCTGGTTTCTCTTCAAAGAGTTTCATTATCAAGCAACAAACTTGAAGGAGCATTGCCTTCTAGTTTGGGAAATTTGCTTTCTTTGACAGAGCTTTACCTCAGTGGCAACTTCTTCTCTGGCCAAATACCAAAATCAATAGGCCAACTTTCTCAGCTCATATTGTTGAACATTTCCATTAACTTGATTGAAGGGCCATTGCCTCAAGAGATGTCTTCCCTTCAAAATCTTCAAACAGTTGACCTTTCTTTCAACCCTCTGAACCTCTCTACCATCCCAGAATGGCTGACAAACATGTCATCGCTTTCCCGCATTTACTTTGCAGGCTGTGGTATCCAGGGCAAAATTCCAGACTTTTTGCAAACAACTCACAGTCCAATTCAGGAACTGGACTTGTCAGTGAACCTTTTCAGTGGAAGCATACCATTATGGATAGGATCCCTCAGTAAGCTCTACTTGTTAAATCTCTCAAGGAATTCTCTTGATTCATACATCCCAGCTTCTGTTACAAACTTGCATGATCTTGGTGTTCTTGATCTTCACTCAAATAAGTTAACAGGCTCCATAGCTGGAGTGTTTCACATTGAACAAGGTACTTTTGGGGGATCACTAACATATATTGATCTTTCTGAAAACAACTTCACAAGTGGAGTTGAGGAAATTGGTATTGGAGGACAGTTTAATATTCAGTTTCTGAATTTGTCTCATAACTTCCTGAAGGGTACATTGCCAAGTTCCCTTGGGACTCTGAGTTCAATTCAAAGTTTGGATTTGAGCTTCAATGAGTTAGCCTCCGACTTGCCAGAGGAGCTGGCAAAGCTAAACTTGTTGGAGAGACTCAAGCTGCAAAATAATCACTTCAGTGGTAATATACCCAATGGATTTCTCAAGTTGATAAATCTGAAGGAATTGAATTTATCAAACAATGAACTTGAAGGGGAAATTCCAGAGGGTAAACCTCTAATTGACTTTCCTGCGAGTTCTTATTCTGGAAATAAAGATTTGTGTGGGAAGCCTCTCAGTCCCTGTAAACTTTGAGGATTGTCAGATACCATTGGAATCACAGGAATTCAATTAAAGTGTAGTATTACGCAAAGACAAGACTATTCTTGTCACATATCATCCTGAAACCTTTACTTATTTTATTTTTTTGGTATAGAATCACTAAGCAGGGCATGCACTTGTTTCATTTCACTATCAAACGTAGAGAATCTCTGGTATGCCTTGACTTTTTTCATGTATCCCTCCAGAAATAGAAACCTTGACACAAACGTTGAATTTTCTTTATGCAGGTTCATTGAATAAATATTAGGATCCCAGTATATTCATATTCAGAATCCCAAAAAGCCCACCGCAATCAGAGTTGCTTAGTTGAGTAGAAAATAAAAGGGGACAAGAATGTCAGCTTCTAAAATTTTTTGATGATTCAAGATTCTCATAAAGATAATATAAAACTTCAGATGCACTAAGCCAGGATGTTTCCTCAAGATAAAATAATTTAATCCGTGAACATATAAAACTGACCCGAAAATGCACTATACAATTTAATTTATTTTTTTTAAAAAAATCCTCAATTTGGAATTCAATACACTTATTTTCCTGTCTTTGCTAATAAATATTTCCTTTGAGAAGTTGAGATTCCATCAGTTGCTTTCAATCACTATGCACACGTTCAAATAGTAGAGCGGTACATTTAACTAGTAAAAGTTGTACAAAGGAATCACCTCCATGAAGATACAAAAAAAAACAAGGAAATTTTTATCAGAACCTACTACGCCTTTAAATTTGTGTTAGTAGATCTAACTTTATTTGCTATAATAAATTCTCATTTAAAGAATGAGTAATTGTGCTTGTGACAATGGACCCTCCTTGTCCGTAATATAAGTAGGCATGTGTAGGTCCATTTCTCAATTCTAGTGCCAGTGACCCACACGTCCTTGACTTGAGGCTGGCTTGGCTTGGTCACTATCACAAGACACAGTTGCCATCCCATCATCACACGCATGTTGCCTCTATAATTGAATATGACAAGATGTTCCAACCTCTACCCAACAAATAAGAGAGAGGTTGCCATAGAAATGCATCATGAAATGACCATTATTAATCATAAATTTCTAAGATTTCAAATGCTTTAGCTATTGTTTTGATTAGAGTGGATCCTGAGTTAGCCCCAGTTGTTGGTAGTTCATGTAGTTAATGCCGTTTAACCTAATACAACATAACACCTGCTCCGGTAGCTCCTCTGATTTGTTCCCCTGTTACATGATGCAAATATTATATAATAATAATAATAATAATCAAAAGGAGCATTAGAGAAAACACATTTTATTTTTGGCATAAGATATAAACTACTTGCCTGAATTGTGAGGCCAACATCTAGACTACAGATCTTTAATCTGTCCAGAAAAGCTTCAAATCCTTTCCTGGAGATATAACTGAATCTATGCATATCCAAATCAATCTCAAAGTAATTTTCTCCCTGCCAAAAAAAATATATAAAAATAATAATTAAAAAAATAATAATGTTGTGTAGCTGATTATATAGTACTGCATGTGGATATCATGTGTCTTTATAGCGAAATGACAACACCATAAATTGCGGGCCAATGATAAAAGGTACCATAAACAATCCATAAAGATGACAACCAAAGTGTACTACGATTCAAAAAGTGGAAGGAGACAGCAGGAAAACTTGAATTTTACCGTTCACTTTTTCTAAGTCTTCATTCAATGATTTACATTTTTGTTTCTCTCGGTTTGATGGGCTGTTTTAGAACTATGTGCCAGATTAATTTTAATATATAAGAAATATCATGGAGTGCGATCTTAGAGCCACAGTATGTTTTGATCGGTCACAAGTTCGAGTTTGGAAAATAATTTCTTTGCAAAAATGTAAAGATAAGATTACGTATAATCGATTCGGACTCCTATTTTGAGAAACAAAATACACATTCAACATCAACGGGGACATCCAATACCTAACGCAGACACATAAAGATAATAGAAAGCATTATATTCAGCTTCAAAGATGGTATCAAATGAGATTATGGGGTTGAGTAAAGGGAAATATCAGCACCATAGCATTAGTTACTAATAGTAATGCTAATGCATGTAGAAACAAATTGGCTTTCAAGATCATTCCAAGTTTTGATTACTCATCATAAAGCTGAATAGTTATTATACCCTGACAGGTTTATTGAAAGAAACCATTACAATTAGTCTATGAGACATACCGAGTAAAACTCATGTTGGGGACGTGAAAGAACAGGTTTCTCATTGTAAGCTTGCATGAGCTTCCTTTCTGCTGCACTCAAATGAAGATCTTCCAGGTTGACAACACGGCCCAATATTTTCAACCTTTCTCGGAAGGGTGCAATTGTATCTACAGGAAAACCCTTTACCTTTTCAACTTCATCATCCATAAACTTCTGTAGAAAGACATAGACTAATGTTATTTCGTCAGCAACACATAGAAATGACAGAAGGAAATAACAAGAAATGATAGAGCTTTCCTCAAATTAACATACAAAAAGACAACAATTGAGGAATTCAAGAGGAGACCCAAAAACTAGAAGTACTGTGAAGATTTGGTTACAGCATATACTATTACATTGCAATTTTTTTAATTTTATGAACAATGAAAGAACTAATCTTAAAGCACTACTCTTAGTAACCCAATATAAACAGAGATGATAGCAATTTAGCAGGATGCATTACTAACATTGAGCAATAAATTTACATATAAAGGCTCCATCTTACTCTGATGTTTTCTTGAAAATGCAGTGGAAGTTCCTTGGAGTAACTTTCCGAAAGTTTAAAGTACAAAACAATGTTCATTCCTTCACCATCAGTTTCACTTTGAAAAAGTGTGGCAGGGTAGAGCGGAACCTGAAATCCACAAAAACAAGAAGTATGAGAATATGCAGCAACAAGATGTTTATCAATTTTTCAGTGGACGATGCGCTATAATCTGGTAAAGGCAAAAAGATAACTAAGGATTAAAATGGACCTTGAAAACCAATGTTGGAATAAGAACAATTAACAGAAACAAGACTAAAGGAGTACCTGAACATTTACAACAAGTATGGGTGGAAATTTCCCAGAGGAACTAATAACAGGAAGTTCCACAAATCGAGCTATATGGTCCACTTTTCGTGGAGATAAGAAAACATCTACTCCAAATGGGTAATATGCAGAATAGTTAGGAGCAAAGTCCTTCTTCCTGTCTCTGCCATAAAGAAAAGAAGCCAAGTCAAACATGATTTCGTCTATGGATATGTATGTAAAACATCTCATTTTGAATCTGTAGTTTAAACTATTTATGCATTCAATTGCACATGGATGCTTTTTTAAACAAATTACAGACAGAATCTTAATCTTACTTAAAATAATTTACTCCTCGAACTTTGAAGCTGCTTGGGTCAATGTGTGACCAACAATCAAGCATTTTCTTCTCGATTGGACAAAAGGGTACTTGAGAACCTGCAATTGGTCTTTGTAGAAGTGTCTTTGAGGATACTGAAAACCAGAACAAGAAACACAAAGAAGAATTACAACAATTACATTTACTCACAACTGCAAAACAAGATGCATTTTCCTGAAAAAACTACAATTTACTAAATCATCTTTTAGCAATGTAATTGATAAATTAACTCTACATGCTATATGAAAAAATACAGTTTTTTTCTCCAGATATTAGATAAAACTTATAAGGTGAATCACAAGAATGCTGTTTCAAGAATTTCAACTCACATAGAGTAGAATTCCCATGTCCTTCCCTCCATTTAAAGGGGAGTTTCATAGGAGATTTCTTCCTTGCACTAGGAGGACTAGAACTTGATGATCTTCTTTTTTCAAGAGAAGGAACAGTGGATGCAAGACATGGCAAACAATTGTGTGGAAGTATCCCACAATTATCCAAAAGTCCATCGTCCTTGTTGGAGTTTGCATCCACTGAGGAAATTTCATCAAGGAACACAGGTTCATTTACTTCAATTATATTTCCATCGCATTTACATTGAGAATCAATGACATCTCCACCAAAATATTGAACATCTGAACTTCTGGCAGCCTCAGAATATCCAGCCGATAACTCCTTCGATTTCTGCACCTGATCATTTGAAACTCCATGGTTGGCATCTCTTGAAGATGTTAAACTTGGTATGGATCCACCATCAATCCCATTCAGAGATACAACATCTACAGATATCAATTGAATTTAATAATACATATTCAACAGTAATAATATCTGATCCATCAAAGAGGTAGCAAGTAAAATATTATATTACAATTTAAACATATTTAAAATCATACCATCAGGAACACTCTGGTAATCATCATCACAGTCAGAGTCAAATACAGGAACTGAATCAAACCATGCCTCCTCAGTACTTCCTGTTCCCACAAATTAAAATTCCAATCACATGTTAGCAATAATATAGGTCATACAAAATCTAGCAAGGATTTCAGGAAAAATTAAAAAAAAAAAAAAAAAAAGTTTTATGCTCTAGCTGCAGTTAAAGTAGATTATATACAACATGATGATCAAAATGCTTATGATAGGAACAAAAAAAATAAGAAATAACCGGCAGATGGAATAGATCCACAGGGAGAGAAAATTGAAATATTACATTGAATTAATTTTTCAATAAAAATAACATGGATCTGAAATAAAATCCATAGTGATAGATATCAACATATGCATTCAGTTCTCATTTCAAAATTTACATATAAACTGCTTAGGATGGTAAAACTCATGATGCTATCATAAGTTCTGATTCTGCAACCTCTCTCTCCATGTCTGTGATAATAAGGACCTAATTCCAGCAACAAACGATAGTTTTAAGTGCTCATTGCTAAACCCTCAAAGCAAAACTGAAATGGGGTAGAGGCATATCAGAAATGCACCACTCACCAACTACAGTTGTGCTCAACCACCCACGCAGAGACATCAGTACTATTATTATCCCAAATTTTAACACCACTTTTCCACCAGAAATCTTGTTATGTTCATACTCAGTCCAAAAGATGAATTTCAAAACCTCCCTTCATATTGAAAAGAAAACGAGTTTGGCTAAGCCTGCTAACATAGCACAAACACAAAATATTGACAATGCTTTCGGTTGTGAATGAAAGTAATTTTTACCAATTATTAACATCTACTCCATCCTCATAAAGTAATTGCTTAGCTTTACTTTTGCAGTTGCTTCAGATTATAACCAATCCATTACACGCTAAGAGATCACCTCCACCTACAACATTTCCCAGAGTCCAAACTCCAACTACCCAAAAGCACTAAAACAATTGACAAACTCATAACAAGAAAAAAAAGACCCGTTAAAAGGATTCCAACAACAAAACACAAACAACAAATTTCATTCCAAAAGAAAAACAAAACCAAACATCTTTCTTCTATCACATTTACAACCTTCAACTCCAAAATCATTTCACAGAAATGCAAGTCAGAAGACAAGACAAAACAAAAACAAAAACAAAAACAAAAACAAAACAAAACACAATAAAAACATCAACCTTGGAAAGTGGGTTTGGCAAAGGAACGATCAGGCAACACAGCCACATCAACCTTGTCCAATGATCCTTTAGCCAAACGAGAAGACACTCTTCTTCTGAGTCCATCATTCTTCCTCTTCCGAGTCTTCACCTTGGAGGAGCTCAACCTCCCTCCCACACACCCCTGTGGAGCTGACACACACGCCCCCATATCATCAACACCTCTGCCTCAGATTCCTCACCCCCACCAGTACACAACCACTAACATCAAAGAAGGCTCTTTCGTATAGACACAATCATAAGGAAGGAAAACACAGAGACTGAAACTGAATATAAAAGAATAAGGATAGCAAACAAAAGCAGAGCTTGAAGCTACCCTCTCTTTGTTTAAGAAGAAAGACTTCAACTTTTTAGCCCCCATCATCATGATGAAATCAATAAATAAGCTACCAAAAAACAAAAATTTGAAGAAGAAAAAAGGGTAAAAAAAAAATTCATTTTTATTTAGATTTTGAGGAGAAAAAAAAGAAAAGAAAAGAAAACAGGAAACACAAATATTGCACAGCGACGGCAGTTGGTATAGTTGGGACCACCATGTGGGTCCCGCGAAGAAGTGGGGACATATGCCACGTGGAGAAAAGGGATTAGGCAAACGTGTGGAAGTGTTGCAGACTACAGAGATCATGGACTAACTTCTACGTTGTTGCTGGTTACTGTACTTTTGTCGTTTATCTTTCACACACACTTGCAAAGTTCTCAGTGTCTTTATTCACCTCCGTGGAATGCGTGTGGTCAATCCAAATGTGTGTTTATAGGACCAAAGCTCTGTGCGCTGGGAAATGACATCTACACATTCACATTACTACCCTTTTCTTCAATTACAATATGGGTCCCCTAAACCACACATTTTAATGATATGCGTTGGATATGAATCAGATTTAGATCTGTATCTAAGAAAATTAGAATTTTTTTTTTTTTTGTATGACTTTTAGTTTATTTCATTTGAATTTGTAGTATTATCATTTTCATTTTTCAAGAGGTCACTTGGAGTGACAAAGGTTTTTTTTCCTTATACTTTTCGTTTTCACAAGAACAAATTCATGATATTGCATAAGCTTTTTTTATCTTTTACAGTCAAGCTTTTATATCGCTTGAATGTAACTGGATATCATCCTATTTAATGAAATGAATATTAAATATTAAATACTATTCTCATTGCTATTTCATTGTGTCTGCAATTATTAATTACAGATCTTTTGATATCGGGATCAAACTTTAAAATTTGACATCAAATTTTAACTGTTGATTTTCGTCAATTAATGATTATTAAGCTTGATTCCTAATAGATGATAATGGTGAATTGACAGAAATCAACGGTTAAGATTTGATTTCAAATTTCAAAGTTTGACACCGGTATCAAAAAATCTTATTCTATTATTACAAAGGTTTTATGAATTTGATTTAGAATCAATTCTATCCAAATTGAGCCATTTTTTTCTTTTTGAAGACTATGAAGTATCTTCAGACTTTACAAAACTAATTCACACGTAAGCACCACTTTCGCTCGAATAGCAAAATACTTGTATTAGATTTGGATTCAATTTTCAAACTCGTGTAGGTAAAGTCTATTTACCTAAAAAAAAAATCATTTATTTACAAAAAAAAAAAAAAAATCATTTTTAATTTAAATAAATTTCTACTCACACAATTAAAATAAAATATTTAAAGATCAAATTAAATTCATATTTTATAATTTCCATAAACATATTAGTATAAAAAGGTTGCTACAAAAGAATATAAAACTTAATGTTAAAAAGGCTATATAGTAAACAAATTAAAAGGAAAGTGAATTTAGATCTAAGAATCAAATAGTCCTCGAGATCTTTATGATCATGAATTTAGTTAAAAAAATGTAAAACTTTTTTTTTTTTTTTTTTTTTTTTGATAACAATGTAAAAATTTTCATTATTTAATAAAAAGGTGCTTTATTTTATCTTTAATACAATAAATTTATTATATTAAAAATATTATTGTAAAAGTAAAAAAAAAAAAAAAACATATGTATATCTTTATAAAGTTCAGGACTTATCCTCAAAGTAACATCTTTAAATTATGCTGAAGTTAAGATTTTAATGGATATTTTTACTAAATCCAAAATATATGTGTATGAATAGAATTGCTAAGTGGGGAAAATAAACTTTATACTTGTGGTAGATGCTTGAATTATGGGTTGTGAGGGTGGCTGGCTGCTGGTACAGCTGTAAGAGAGAAAAACAGCTTGTGCTCACGAGAGAGAAATGACCAAACCTTTTTTCTTTAACAAAAGATAGAGCCAAATGTCATTTTCATACCTATCTATGTTTATAGGACAATTGGGTTAAATAGGGGCCAAGTGAACCTCTCCTTAAAATGTCCTTATGAACTTTCACCTAACCAATAATAATATCTGGTACCCTGGTGAGTGGCTAATATTTTTTCTTAATCTTGAGTTATCATGAATCAATTTGATAACGCAAGTTCCCCTAGAGAAAATGGCAATTTTAAAGATGAAGACACTTTTGTAGCCAAAACAAAAAGATAGAAACTTCATTATTCCAAGTACAGGATTTTGGTTACAATAGGAAAGTTGTTGAATAAAAGTCCAATTCAAGTTCTTTTTTATATTGATTTCATTTTGTTTTGCGTTATTATTGAATTCCTTTGTCATGTCTTTTTCTTTTATTAATCGATCGAGTATTGATAAAATCTTATATATTTGTCATTTTCAGGGCTTTTCTATCGAAGCTTAACAAAGACCAATAACTGTTTTCTCAAGTATTTAATCAATTATCAGTGTATTCTGAATACGCGTTTGGCAGAGGAGAAATTTTTTTTTATCCGAGAATATCGATTTTGAAAAATATAATTTTTACATTCAGTTTACGATAATACCCGAAAATACAAAATTTAAAAAAATTTAATTTTCCAGAAATTCTGGAGAATTCCAGGTACCAAACACCATTATAAAGTTAGAGAACTTGACAATTGACCGTTCTACAAGGAGGTCAAAAAAATACATTACTTCTACCTCCATTTTTATTTGACGAACTTAAATGTTGATTTGTGTACTTTGAATTACCATTATCAAATAAAAATATTTCTCTATTAATTTAAATATTGCTCAAAATACTTTGTGAGTTTAAATAAAAGAAACACTCTTTTGAGTGAATAAATCAAAACACACAAAAAGTTGGTGTATAATTTAACACGTGACCACGAATTAAATTAAAATATATTAGGTTACTTGGCCTGGTTTGAGTTGGTGTGACTAGGCTAATAGAATTGAACTTTGGGTGTATCAAGAATTCCAAGTGTGATAATGACTTTCAATGTATTAAAAAAAATGTTGGAAAAACTTCAATAACTCCTCTTTAAGTTTTTTCAAAATCATTTATTCTTCCACAAAATTTTGCATAATTTATACTCCTGACTTAAATTTTTTTATTACTTATTCCCCTAAGTTGTGGGTAAGTAATAAAGAAATTTTAAATAAAGATGTAAATGATTCAAAATTTTGAAGAAAAGGTAAGTGATTTTAAAGGAAACTTACATAGAATTTTGAAGTTTTTCCAAGAATATAATATAATTGTTCGATTCTTTTTCATTTTTACTTGGTTGATGATTGTTGTGAGTAATTCCTTTATATACTTCGATGGAAATAAGAGGTGTTTGGTAGGTGATTTTTAGGGGGATTGGTGGATAAATAAGAGTAGTTATTGAATTTTGCTGTGTTTGGTAGAAGAGTGTGAGAAATGAAACCAGGCAACCTCTTTCCCCATGAAATGTTGCAGTGTGTGTAAATTTGTATCCAAATCACTGTCTCGGAATACCACCTTAGAGGTGGTATGTGCAAATAACTAGGTAAGTGAAAATTTTGGCGCCATGTTTGTTATGAAAATGCCCTTGATCAGATTCCTCTCTCCTCTAAACACATGTGGTCCGTATTTTTGTGTCCAACATCACTTTTCATCGGTGTTTATTTTTCAATTCAGATATCTCTATTTGTAAGGGGTATTTTTGAATTTTTGATATATTTTCCCATCAATTTTTTACTTTCAACCAAATATAATCTTAGTAAACTTAAGATAATTTTACTGGTAATATTTCAGTCTACCAAATAATTTTTAAAAAAAAATTTCACTAATCTTATTTTGCAACTATTTCCCCACTAATTATATGTACCTAGTAAAAAAAAAAAAAAATTGCTTGTACCAAACGCTCCCGTAGGTAAGAATTTGGATACTCAAATCAATAGATAAAGTATGCAAACGAGAAGAAAGCACATATCTTAGGATCGAGCCAATGCTTAGGAAGAAGAAAAGATATATTAAATATATGATGGGGAAGGATATTGTGACAACTAAGTTGTGTTACTACCAAGTGACTATCAATCAATTTTATCATTAGATCGATTATTTTGATCCAATGGTTGTATTTATTTTCATCTTTGTATGGTCATGATTTCTCAAATTTAATACTTTATATTTATTTTCACCTTTGTATGGTTATGATTTCTCATATTTAATGTTTTCACTTTAAATATGGAGAATCATGACCATACAAAGATGGAAATAAATATAACCGTTGGATCAACATAATCGATCTAACAGTGAGATTAATTGGTAGTCACTTGGTAGTAACACAACTTGATTGTCACAATATTCTTCCAAATAAGAAAAAAAGTATTAAATTTGGAAAAAATATTAAAAGTGAATGAGTTTTATTTTAAAGAAAAGAGAAATAAAAATTAGGGAAATTCACTCATTATTATGTGACTGTAGCATAAAAAAGGAAAAATATTTATTGCTTATGAATAATGAAAAAACGGTTCCACCCTCATTATTATGATGTACGTCGTTCACATTAAAAAGAAAAGGAAAAAAGAATCAATATGTTTAAATAGATTTATCTGCAACCATATAATTGTTTTTATTCAAAATAGTAAAAGGAAGGGGATAAAGGAATTTTGAGAGAATTCAGTAAATAAAACCACGCTAATGAAATCTATTGAACAATTAAAATAAGATACGATGCTAGAAAGTCAGAGACATATAGAATTATGCTAACCAAACCTTCATGCATGCATATGCTCATCTAAAAAAAAAATGCTTTTGTGAGATCATTTAATGGCCACATCCACAATTTGATTCACTAATTGTGGATCCAAGTTAGTGCTCTTTGCGAGACAATTTTAATAAAGACACGCATCCCTAGGGAGCCAATGTTCCTGCTTACACGATATTGTTACCCTTTCAACACGCTTTGCAATAATAAAAGGAGATTAGAATAAAGAATCAATTAAGTACAGAGATCACAGACATTGGGAACGATAATAGAATAATTTATTTCAACAATTGCAAACACTGAA